TCATGTTTTAAGCCCAGAGAGAAACCGAACACCATCCTGTTGCTTGCTCGTTCCTCCCCTGCCAGTGGGATGTGGAAGAGAAAATAAAACAAAAACCTTGGGGATCGAAGCAAGGACAGGGAAGGATGACTCACCAATTATTATCATGGGAAAAAGACAAGCTCTATTGGGGAAGAAAGAACAATTTAATTTGAATGCCACCACCACTAATTTACCAATCAAACAGAGCAGGACAGTGAGAAATACAACCACATCTTAATAATACCCTCCCCCACCCCACCCTTTTTCCTGGGCTCAGCTTTGCTCATGATTTCTCTACCTCCTCCCCCTGCAGTGGTGCAGGAGGGCAGGGGATGTGGTCTGTTCATCACCTGCTGCTTCTGTCGCTCCTTCCTCCTCTAAGGGAGGATTCCTCACATTCCTCCTCTGCCCCAGCGTGGGGTTCCTCCCACAGGAGACGGTCTTCCATGACCTCCTCTGACGTGAGTCCTTCCCCCAGAACTGCACCTCTTCACGAACTGCTCCTGTGTGGCTCCTTCCCATGTGTTGCAGTCCTCCCAGCAACAGATTTGCCTCAGTGTGGGCTTCCCTCAGCCACGGCCTTCCTTGGGTGCAGCCTCCTGCTCTAGCATCGGGTCCTCCACAAGCTGCAGGTGGGCTTTTGCTCCACCATGGGCCTCCATGGGCTGCAGGGGAGTCTGCTCTGGTGCACCCCTCCTCCCTTTCTTCAACTGACCTTGCTGTTTGCATAGGTATTTCCCTCACTACCCTCCTCCTCTCAGGTTCCCCTTCTTAAATATGTTATCGCAGAGGCACAGCCGCTGTCACTAATTGATCGGCCCTGGCCAGAGGTGGGACGGACTTAGAGCCAGAGGAGCTTCTAGAAGCTTCTCCCAGGGGCCACCTCTGTAGCCCCCTCCCCTGCTACAAAAACCCTGCCACACACAAACTCAACACATCCCTGTAATGCTGTAAATGTAAAATCCAGGGAGAATGTGAGATCTTGACTGCAGATTATCATTAAAGAAATTTTTAAAATAGTTGTCTGTTACAAAGAATTTAGATAGGGCAGATCTGAATTAGACAAGGGCTTCGGATGATCATTGCTGGCCAGTTTATAGTTATACATCTTTTTATTTGTTCCTAAAAGAACATCCTTCTGCTTAGTAATAGCTGACTTAATCTGATACCTTTTATTCACTTATTGCCATTATTCTAATTAATTTCTTAATGTCTTTAGCTTATCGAATGATATTCAGATCCTTTTATGTCTCCTACTTTTGTATAACTAGCAAACTGTACTAGCACACTCCCTGCTTTTTGACTGAGATGACTAATGAAAATGTTAAATAAGACCAAACCAAAACAAACCATCAAGAAACTCAGCTATATTAAAATATGTCTAGACTGAGAACATACTTTGTTATTTTTGCTTTTAGTACGTTCCTTCTAACAACATTACAGTTCTCAAACTAGAGCTACATTTTCTAATGTGTAACTGATAATTTCCCATGTGATGCTGTACCAAATACTTTGCTTCAATCTAAACAGACTGACAAGCTTCCTTCCCCTTGACTAGAAAAGCAGTTATTTTATTAAGTGAAAGTGTCAGGTTAGTCTTACCCCATCTTTTTTTTTTTTTTTTTTGTAAATCTGCATAATATTTTACCTCATTTTGGTTTTCTGCCATTTTTTTAAAAGTTACCCTTTCCTCAAAAATCTGCATTATTGACTTTCTGCACCACTGAGGTAAGCATAGCAAGGCTCTTAATTCTGTATCACTTAACCTTTCCCTGTTACTGTAGCGGTTTTTATATGGTAGTTCTCCATCACTGATGCCAGCTCTTTGGATACACAAGTCCAAATTAGGTCAGCTATGGTTTCATTTGTCAGCCTTTTCAGAACTATTACAGGGATGAACCCACTCCATTTGACTGCCTTAACCTCTGAGTTTTCTTTTCATCTTGGATGCAGAAATCTCTATTTTTATTTCGTCATTCCTACAAGGCAGTCTTTCTTTATTATATTGATTTTAGTCTCTCCACAGCTTTGCTCCACAGCTTTTCACTTCCTCTTCCCCCTCTCTCCTTTTCTCTGTATGGCTGACAAGTCTTTTATTTATCTTTCTTAATCTAATTTGTAATGTGTATGTCAGTCGGAATTTTGCTTATGCTTTTATATTACCTCCTATCTAGAACAGTGCTTTCTTTGATGATCAGTCTTTTTTTGCTTCATTCATTGTCAGCCTCTCATTTATACTTAGTATCTGTTTTACTCATCTGTTTTTATCTTTTTATAACATTCTTATTAATTACTGCAATGAAATCTGAAGAAAATAGTACTGTCTGCTGAAGAGGCATTTGTAATAAAAGATATTGCACTGGGTACTATAGATTTCCCAAACTGTCTCTAAAAAGCACACTGATAAACCTGAAACACTTCATTTCTACATGCCGTTGCAAAAGAGAAAAATTTTTTATAGTTTCTCACTTTCTGTAGTTTTACCCATGAAGACAAGTCTCTCCAGTTTATTAGAAAAGTGAATATTTTATTTTTCAAAACAATCTAAAATGGCACCAAATTTGTTCAATGGAAAGAGGAAAGAAACAGAAATATTCTGAATTAATTCTTCATCTTCTCCCTTGCAGTGAGAAAATCTCATTTAAAATTCGCCTTAATTTTCCCTTCTCTCTACAGCTGAGTGCTGTACGTGTAAGTGGTCATGACTCCTTAACTCTTACAGTGTATAGCTGGCAACTGAAAAGGCTCAAAATGTTTGTTTGTCAGTTTTTTAAGGTTTATGCTGCTTTATCAGAAATGCTCTCTATCATAATATGGTTGTGGTTTCTGACCTGACTGGTGAGCCAGAAAATTGAATAGCTGCTTCAGATCATCAGTATGGCAGTGGACAGGCCAGTACTAAATAGTTAGTTAAAAATGCTAATCGAAATGCACTTGCAAGAAGTGAATCTGTGGGTTCTAGGGATGCGCCATTAATACACAAAATGCTTTAAAAATGTGGAATGGTTTAATACTGTTAGAAATAAAAGCTGAAAACAAGCGTATTTCCCAGGCAGGTAATACACTATATGAGCTCTATGTCTTTATAAGCTTCTAAATCCAAACGAAAAAGTCTCTGTAAAGGGTTAAAAATAGCAGTATTTAAAAGTGATTGTTTTCAAAATGTAGCAAGTCATTAATAAAATCAAATTACCATTACATATTAAGCAGAGATCATGTTTATATTCATAGATAGTTACAGTATTTCAGGAGTTTGTCCAACCCTTTTATTCTGTTTTCAGTGTGCACCTTAATTGCTACATAATTAAAGCCCTTAAAAATATTTTAGAAAGGTGGAGAAACTCACTAAATACTTTTATATTTGGATCTAAAATTTATAAATTACATTTAAAATATTTCTTTAATTATGTCCTTTTTTTTGGTTTGAAAAATTCAGCAATGGTCTGTCCTCAATTCAAAGGACTTCACACAGGTCTTGAGCTTGGCTCCACTGTGCGGTAAACACATACTTGAAAGTCAGTTCATGCAAAATACATTGCCGGGAGATGCCTGACATAAGGTTGATGCATTTAAATGATTGTGAAATGAAAGGTCTTCTGATTTTGTGCCAGTGTTCGCCATTACAATACCTGCTTACCTTCTATATCCATCTGATGGCAGGCCTGAAGGCTGAGTCACACTTAACGTTGTCCTTTCTGGAGTAAAGCTTTTTGCATTATGGAGAATAGAGGTTTATTCTAAAAATGTTAGTAATTTGGGTTTATTGTTGTTGATTTATCTTTATTGGATGGATGTCTGGAGTTTTTCTGTAGGAAGAGGGTTGCTATGAGTATCATTATTTTGAGGAGAGGATGTAAAGCATGCATCCTCACAGCCTAATTGTGCAACGCTTTACAAGTCACTGGCCCTTTCTTATGCTTCAGCCAGTTCAGGCGCAAAAGTGGATCCAATCAAATTCCATTAAAATCAGTGAGCGTATTAAAGTGAAGTCTTCATGGATAAATGGATAGAATAAAAAGGAGTATGTGAGCGTTGCATTATTTAATGTGGATTCATTTCTGGGCCATGACTTTCAGAAGACATTTGAGGCTTCTCTGCTCTTGAGATAGGTTTCACATACTGTATAAAACCATATGTTTCCTCTTCTCATTCCTCAGGAAACCATAGGGTGGGCCGTCATAAGGGAATGTGACAACAACCATTCATTTCTTATTTATCAGCGCGTATGTTCCTCTGTTGAATTACATGTATTTTTATTTCATTTCACAGTTTCATTTCTGAGATTCAGGCTGATCATGATGGCTTTCTGTGACTGTTGACTCCTGCAAAATTCTTTGAGCTTTCCTATCCCAGGAGGCTAACAGAAGTGTCATTAATTTGCATTCAGGAATAATATTACCTGTAATTTTCTAAAATGCTGTTTTAACATGACCAAGTTTCTGGGTGGCTAGCTATGAAATTACTGCTTCTTTATAACTGCTTAATTTCAGTCCATAATGGAAAACCATTATACAGTACCCAAAGGCTGATATAGTAAGTGGCTTTCAAAGCTTTTCATTTCAAAAGTATTTTAGTTGAATTAGTTATAAAATATATGAAGAATTGTAAAAAGTTTTGCTCTAGTCTGCCAGAAGCCATATCTCTCTGTCAGACAAGCCTGAAGGCTGTGTCTTCATACCAATTGGCAGAAGATATATCTTTAACTGGCCCAGTCTGTCAAATGAGTAAACAAATTGTGCCAGAAAATTAAATTGTTGATAGCTTATCTGAAGGATTATTTGGTCTTTGCCTTTTGCTACTTGATATCTGAAATGGAAATATATATCGGTGTGGGAAATACTCTTATTTTAAAACAGAGAATGAAGTATTTTAGGCCAGTGGCCATGCACAGCGAGGAAATGTACTTCAGGATAAGCGAGAGGCATTTTCAGCACTTAAGGGACAACGGTTTTCACTTGTTCTTCCTCTCTTTTCTGTAGGTCTCTAGTTTTACACCTAGCAAGATCCTGAGTACCCTAGAGCTACAGCTCCCACTTCTTCAGATGTTCGGTATGTCTTTATATCGAAGCCTAGTAGAAGCCAATATCCTTGCTGTATTCGAAGCTATGCTGTTTTTCCATTCCCAAAGCATCCCTTCAAGATATGAGTGACTTGTAGGACTGAGCTGACTCTAAAAAGTGACAGACTGAATCCCAAATTAGGAACACAAAGGCAACAAAATGTTCAAATAAAACCACATTTCCATAAGAAGAGTATTCCCTGTCTGACTTAAACTTACCTTTGCATACTTATCTGAGTTGAGTCAGAAAAGGGTGGAATTTTCTTGCAAGATGATGTGGCTCTGTCAAAATATCAGTTGCAAAACACTGATGACAGTATGTACTGTCAGTACATACTAATATCTTCAGGAACACAGTATTAGATTCATGGCATTTTAAAATCTGTTTCAATACATTAGGTTGAACAGTGTTAGCAGAAATAAGTGTGTGTTATATTTCTGAAAATTATATTAATAAAAAATGATGAAACTTGTTACTATGTGATGAGTCAAATTTTGGTTCCTCCAAAATCAATAGGTAATTCTTATCCATTGCTTGGAGGAATTCACCAGGTAACATCGTTAGTGTCCATTAGTGTCATGCTAATTCTGAACAAGGCTACCCTTTAACTAGATATAACAGTGTTATAAATCTGCCATTTTTTCACATTAACTTGCCAAAGTGCATCATTCAAAATCAAGATGTAGAAGTCAGCTTGTAGGTCCATCAACAGTTATTGCTTAAGTGAGTGTCTAAACATTGATTTAGCAACACTGCTAATTTTCCCTCACAAAGGAAGGTTTCCATAATCTCAGCAGATCCAAAGAGTGCATATGTTCTGCCTCCTGAGAACATGACTCAGCCCATAATTGGGATCAATAACACTTCACATACAAACTGTTTGACTCTAAGCCACCTAGGAAAGAGTAAGTATTTGGTAAGTAATGGGCTAAGAGAGGTGACAAAGCTCGGACCCCACGTTCCCACTAGCAGGAATTGAAGCATACCTCAGCCTGCAAGAATCAAGTCTCTCACTCTACCTCAATCACTGCTTAAATGTGATGTGAAATGTCATCAGGCAGGTAGGGCTCTTCTCATACCAATGTGGGACCCATAGGCTGAAGACATCAGCTGCGGACATTTTCTGGATGGAAGCACAGTCATATGGCATGCAGATTAAATCTTCTGTCACACTTTGGTCCTCTTACAACACTGAAAGCATTTAAATATAGGAATTTTTCCCCGCGTTAGTCTGGAATTTTTCCACACTATAGTTACTTAGTCAGCTGAGACCAGAGGTTCTTCAGGCCTTCAGGAAATGTCCCATAAGAATACACTTTTTAAAGGAAAACATTGTTTTGTTGTAGAATTCTGGCTCTAAATTGCAGGAATATATAGGCTGTAAAAAAGGAAAAATCTCCATGCTTCTAAAATTGAACTAAAACTCTGTTTCAGTAATTACAACCTTAATAAGGCTTTTTTACCTTGCTCCCTGGTCTCATCCAGGTTAAAACTGGTAGGTTTAGCAGAAATTTTTGAATATAGATTCAGTATTTTTTTTATATGATGTGTTCTGCTTCAAACAGGAATTCATTCAGGAAGTCCTGTTGTATAGGAGTCAGACCTCAAAATCACTGGGGTCTCTTCTGACCTTTGTAATGAATTAATGTATGACTTTATGCCAGTAATAAGCTGTTAATTTGGACTACCTCTCTGAATGTCCTTTGTTTCTGTACCTTACTAAAGCAGGGGCAAATAGTCTTTCCTCTAGACCAGGAAAAAGCAGTCAGTACTGTAGAGCACTAAACAATATGGAAGTGTATTATTGTGCTTTCCACTTGGCACGTTATAACAAATTCATTGAAGATATGGAAATCTATCCCCAAATATTCTTCCTAATAAATTATGAAAATTATTTTCTTGGAAAGTGCTGCTTTAAGCAGGAAAAACTTTCCACACTATTGGAAGGTCAATACTAGGAAACCAACATCAATTTTCTTGATTATTTGATAGTTCAGAAGCAATTTGGTGCGAGTCTTCAGTTCTGAAAATACATGTGTCTTTGGCTAGATGCCTGGATATATACAGTGAGTAAAAACATAGTAGTGTCAATGATCTTGATCTCTTACATTCAGTATGCTAGGAAAAATAATATTAGCACTTAAATATGCCTGCCAAAGTTATCTGTAATAAAAGTGCAAGACAAAAAAAAATAATGACAGCAGTCTCTATATTGAAGAATCATGGATCATTGTGGGCTGCAGTAAATCTACTGACATTAAAGTTTCCTGGAATGGGATACCAAAGATTAAAATAAATAACTCTATAGTTTGTTAGTCCTTCTTTCTTTGAAGGGCTTCCCATCCATATAGAAGGATAAGATAAGGTCTTAGGATGCACACAGAATTTGTACTTGCCTCAGTATCAAATGAACATGAAAAGGCATTGGACATATATAAAGAGTGATAGGAGATCAAGTGTGAAGTCAGTTCTTTGTAACCATTGTTTTCTCACCTTATTATCTAAGTAGTCTTGAGGTGGCTGTCAGTTAAAATTCTGTTGTTTTTTTTTTTTTTAAAAAAAAAAAAAGAGAAGATATACAGTTGCTGGTGCACAAGGAGACATGAAAACAAATATTAGAAAGTGTGCAAAAAGCCTCCTTTAAAAGCTTTTCAATCTCCTGGGCTTTAAAAAAAGAGAATCAGTTCAAATGTCTCCTTACTCTAGTGTAAACATAGAAGAAAATAGTGGGAAACAGTTAAACCTAATGCATTTTTATATTGCACATCATGTTAGTGTCTTTTAAAAGGCTTGAGGTAAATTTCAGAGATTTTTGGAGCAGTGCCCATGGTTTTCTGTTTGACTGAACTTAGGATTCGGGAGTTTTTTATTAGTTTGGTGTTGGGTTTTTTTAAAGAAAAGAAAGGGCAAGGTCTGTTTTCACTTTTGTTCTACATTTTCTTCTTATATGTTGCACAAAACTTTGTTTTAAGCATTATCTCTGGTCTCATTAAGGGAGTGCATTTCTCACTGTACATAGAATCTTGTTTTCTCACCTTAGAGGAGCTGACCCTTTTTGGAATAACAGCAGTTTTATGTTAGTATAGCTATATAACGTTGAAGAAAATCATTACGTCTTTTCTCTGGACAAATTATCAGGCTTGATTTTATAGTCCACAATGCCACCTTTACCCTGTGTGACTTCAAGGACTTCCCCCTCACATAGAACATTATGCCTCTATGGGTTTTTGTATGCATTTGAAATGAAGGAAAATCTTGTGGAAATCAGTCAGGTTGTACCAGGAGAAGGTGGATATAACGCAATAGAGAGTTCAGCTCTGCCTCTTACAGTAGAAGTGCAGCTGTAGGAAGTAATTTCACACATTTATTTAACAAAGGATGGCAGCTTTAGGAGTTTTTGACCAATGTATGCATGATAAATACTCAAATGACAGTTTTGAGCAGTCTGTTGGGCTAGCAGGGGTTGTCTAGGCTATATCAATTTCTATTTGCATAGTCTATCCGACTAAGCCTCAAGCTTAACTTTATGAAGTTGAAAATCTTTGGAAATCCTTGAAAAAAGTCATTGAAAAATCTTTAATTTATATCTGGGAGTACTTAATATACGGTTTGCTCTTCCATTTAAAAAACTTGCTGTAAAACAGAGTTTCTCAATCTTTTACCATCAACATTTGCCTTCAATCCATTGAGATTTCTCAGATTTTCACAATATATGTGTTGGTCAGATGTGAGTGGATACCTGGCTCTCCTGTATCCCCTCGCCAGAGAGGCAAGGAGAAAGGAGAAATAAAATGAATGAGTGACAGAGCTTGTTCATCTGGTCTGTACAGAAACCTTCTGTACCTCGTGTATGTAGTGATTTTTAGCTTCACTGAGGTCCTCAAATAAATGAAAATGGTGAGAATTAATAATTTTTATGTTCTCATTCTTTAAACTTCATTAACTTTCTTGGTCAATGGTACTAGCCTGTGTTTCGTACTGTACAGATAGTTACAATTGCAATGGAAAATGGTCATGGGATGTCCTTGTCACACCTGAAGGCAGTGGCAGAACTCCTGGTTGGACTCACTGGAAAAGATACCTGGTCCAGGGCTATTCCTTCTGAAGTTTCTCTTACGTATCTGTTATAACTCCTCCTGAGTATGAGAAACACCAGTGCTTGTAACCCTCTACAATAATTTACCTTTCTTCTTCCCACCTGAATGAGTCTGTGCAATTTTCTTTAATTCTTGATATAACCTCAATAGGCAAACTCATTGATCTTTCCCTCTAAAGGGATCGTACTAGCTTAGAGCTCATAAAATTTATGAGAAACACAGGCTGTTTCAGATTATGTCCTTATTGACATTAACAGTAGTCATTTTGCAGTGATATAGCCCAGTCTCTCAATTTCATTCAATACATCTGGAGTGAATCATTACCCTATGTGAGTTTTTATTAACCTTAATAACAATATTTTCTTCTCTTATTTCTTTGTGGGTTTTGGGTTCCTTGGTGTCTGCTCCTGCCTATGACTGCTACTTCTCACAGTACAACTCGTACATCCCTAAAGAAATACAGCATCCACCTCATTCTGTTGCAGAGGTTATATGATTTTAGATAGCTGTTTTTATATTTATTTATCTAATTTTGATATCTGATTGGAATTTTCTCCTTGTATATTTATTTTTCTTATAAGTGTCTTGCAAGGGGCTTCTTCTATACCTTATATTTGAACTTGAAAATATAGCACATTATGTTCATTGACTTTCTTTTGCCCAGAATAGCATTCCTGCTTGTAAAGAAATATGCTGACAGGTACAACTTACCGTACATACAGGAAGAATGAGAAGTTGCATTGCTCTTCCCCTGATAGCTATTTTTGCATGTGTATATTTGTATCTACCTTGAAAAAACAGTTGTGGTTTTTTTTTTTTTTCAAACAAGCATTTTGTTAACCTTCACAAGATAAAAATAAAAGATGATTAAAAATAAATTAAAGTTGTAACTTATCTCTTTAATGCTCTAATTCATTGTTGATCAAATCTTCCTACAGTACTGATAGCAGCTTGTTAATGCTGATCTCATTATAGGTAAGGTTGAAATATTTAATGGCAAGCATAATTTCTTTTAAAAACACTGTACTTAGTAACTAATGTAATTATACCAGGAGGCATAACAGGAGAGATTAGTGCAATAAGTGACCTAGCTTTAATAATGTCATCAAAAATTGTAATTGCAAAATTATCCACTATGTTATAAATGTTCACTAACATAATATTTGAGTCACTCATCATTTGCAGCACTTCATGAAGCAATTATTTTTTTACAGTGTACAAATATCAATTCCATTAATTTTAATAATCCTTTCACTGTGCAATCCTGAGAACTTTATATTTAGACATAGCAAAAGATGCCTTCACCCATGACTGAAAAACATGTATTATAACAGACAGTGTTTGGCTGCCGACTTTTGAAGTTTTAGTACTGAGCATACCTAGAAAGATTTAGAGGTCAAGTTTGAGTTAAGAACTCAGAACTGCATAAAAATGCCTGCAACCTACTCTAATAAAGATACTGACAATATGTCCCAGATTTCTTTGTTTCCAGCTGGATTGTGTGCATATATATACATCTGTGCATCTATCCATCCATCCATCCATGTCAATCTATCTCACAATATTTTAATATTATACCTTCAAGACTTAGGTCCAGCCAAAAATTAAAAAAAAAAAAAAAAAAAAAAAAAAAAAAGAATTAAATTGGAAATCTTGATAAAAATCTATGTGTGGGCTTTTGTTTGTTTGTTTTTCAGTCCTGTAAGAACTTGTTTATTCAACAAGATGAGGAATAGATCTAGTTCTTTTGTTCTCTGAACTGCATTAAGCTATTGTCAGAACGAGTAAGAAAACCATATTTTCCATATGAAGACATATTAGTCAACTTCAGCAGTAGTTTTCCTTCAAGATCCCTGGTATTTTCTGCCATGTAAATTCTACGTATGGGGGAACCTGCTGGACTGCTCCACAAACCCAACTCACGGTGCTTCTCCAGATCCAATAATGGCTAAGGTGTTTAATGTAATAGATAGAGTTATTTAGCTGGTGTTTTGTATTCCTTGACTTCTTCTTCTTTAGCGTTTATCTTCATTTGTTGCTTGTTACTGTACATTTTGTTGCAAACTCTTGTGAACAGAAAATTCTTTAGCATGTGTGAACTGAGCCTGGCAGATTGCGGACCTTTCTTCTAGATACTCTGAGAGGATAAGAAGCAATGCACATATTATGAAATCTCAAATGCAAATGGTCTTAACAAAACAAAACACACTAGGTCTGAAAACTGGAGAAGTTTCAAAGCTATATTACCCAAATAATATCCTAGTAAAAACTACATATAAGTTTATAAGAAAATAGCTATGTGCAAATATCTTCCTTCACTGAAGACGCTCTACTCCATCTTACTAGATGCTAGGGATGAAATTCCTCTTGCCCAATTCAGACTGTGTAAAAGGTGTCTAGTCTGAGAAAGTCACTTAGACTCCCTGTACATTTGATAAAGAGAAGAAACTTCAGAGAGTAACTCATCTTACATACCTTAGGCATCCAAGGTTGAAATGAATTTCTTTTGAAAACACATCTTGCTTTTCAGTAACTATAATGGAAGCCTCGACTGCTCCTTTTTGAGTCTATATGCTCACTGATGTTGGGCTTAGACTACCTAGCTTTCAGACAACTAGTGTGTCTGATGAATACCATCGGTATTGTCTTTAGCACAGAAATGTAGTATCCCATCAAGTATGATCATGTTTTAAGAGGTAGCATCTACCATGAAGCAGACTAGAAATTTTGAACCTTTCAAGGGAAGTTTCTCTTCCTTTTCTACATACCTCTTTACAGAAGCTCCAGCCATGAGTTTCAAAAGGTTTCAACAATGGTATGGAATTTGAAGCAATTTATGTGAAAGCAGGGTTAGATCAGCACTGAACTTTGCTGAAAATGTCATTCATGATGATCATATCGCACGTCCACTGGCTTTTTTCAGGACTGTGCAGAGATGGTTTTTCAGACACACCTGCTTATTTCTGGCTTCCAGATTTTCCTGTAATCTATGCCCAACTGGATTTTTCAGGGGTGGGGAAATAAAATATGTCGTCACATCAAATGTAGACTTCTTGGGCTTTTCCCAGTGATATTATCTCTTGGGAGGAAAAGTAAAAAAACTCTGCACTAAATCGTCAGGGAAAACAGTTTTGGAAGCATTACCAAGAAGAGTAACCTTTCCTTTATCAACTAGTATTGCCAAAGGTATTGTATTTGCTAGCATTTTTAGGATGTAATTTCCATGTTGTTGCTACTTTTCCTTTTAACTTGGACCTATTTTCATTTTTCTGAGGTCATCACTTCCAGTTTGTATTTCATCTCTGAGACTTCTTATTTTTTACAGTCTCTTGTGAAGTTTTTTTATGTCAATTCTAAGAAACTCAGTGATTTACATAGTTTAGGTAAGCTCTAAATTCTTTTTCTACTTTTATGACTATTCCTTCTGTAATGCCCAGTCACTAAAGAAAAAAAACCACACATCCCATAATATCTAGAGTGACTAGTTTTCTATATTATAAGTGGAAATACTATATAGCTTAATTCAGATGACAATATGTAAGATCATATGTTGGGTTGTAGTGAAATTATTGTATATAATTATATACTGCTGTTAAATTATATAAAATGCATAATTGAAATACATTACATGCCGATGAGGTGATTTACAAAAAGAATTTGTGCAAATTTAGATATTTCTATATTTTATACTTTAAACAAAAAGAGTGCAGAAAACCGATGTTCCTACAGATTTCTATGTTTGACTTGTACAGATCTAGGGCAAATTAATTCCTGGTGTAGTGCTATTAATTTGATGGGAGTTACATCAGAGATATGAACTCATTTATTTATTGCTAGCACCATCTGGAAATTTATAATGCCATAGCAATGTTTCACTGGCTAAAGACACATTCATCCTTTTTGTTTAGGATGGGAAGACGGGGATTAAATATTGAAGATCACTTTAGCTTGCTCTATATCATCTTAAATTCCCTTGTAGGCTTTGTTATGTTTGGATGGCGAGATGTGAATTTAAATAATATTTAAATAAGTGTAATAGTGCAATCAAGAAAAGACAAAATAGGCCTCCTGAGGCAAAACAAATGAATATCAACATCATTTTTACAGTAGCAGTGAATCTATAGAAGAGAGGTTTCCTTTGCTGTACGCAGATAGCCGTGTCTACCATTCCAGACACAACTTCATGTCTGAGTTAATGTTGACATGCAGGAACCTCACTCCTAGGACTAGAAGAGACTTGTATCACAAAGTCCAACTCTATTCTGTCACGATTTACCACATTGCATAATTCTGCCAGAAATGCCAGATACTTAATTTTATCTTCCATTTGTTTAAGAGGTTATGTTGTTTGTTTTCATTATTTTTATTGGCATCGAGTCTAGAGGTTTATTTTTCAGTGATTAGAAGCCTTTGTCTAGATTTGAAACTATGCTTTATCCATGTGGAAACATCAAATGATAGCTTGAGCCATTTCCTTTCTCCCCTGCCTCCTCCAGAGCACAGACAGGAAATATGCTTTAAATGAGTTTTGATTTCTTGGCTTCTGCTCAGGAATGCACCCAGGCACAGCCATGTCAAAACCTCAGGTAGCTCAAGACCAGGAACAGTGGAAATATGGACAAAGTTATAAGGACATGGCATATATAGATATTTATATGCTATGCATATCTGTTTGTATCTCTGTAACAGATATCTCATGTTATGCAAGCTGATAACACTCCAGAGCTGGCAAAAATGGATTTTCTATGAACAAGACTAATTTAGGTATAATTGATTAATTATCACAACTCAGTTTTAACGTGCCATCTTTAAGTCAGCTTATTAAGAAACTTTGTGCAGGTACATAAGAGTAAAAGCCTATGTGTTGTCTCATCTAGAAAACTGATTCTTCTGCGGCTTAAGTATCTGCTTATTTCTCTTTTGCATGCAGGGAAAGTGCCCGGGCCCTCCTGTGGTGACCCCCTGCAGACAGCGCAGCCCCCCCAGCTCTCACACCAGGGGGAAGCTGGAGCATTTGCTGGCAGCCCAGGCAGTGATGGAGCACAGAGCTAACCGTCACCTTCCTCCTCTTCAGCCTCATTGGGTCGTATGGAACAGGGTGAGAGTTTCTGTTAAATGTCGTGGTTCTGCTGAAATAGAAATATCGACGTGTGATAGCAGGTGTTTGCCATAACTTCACTGGTAACATCATTTTGTAACTTTGCCTGGAGGTGCCTATCCTTAGAGGTTCATTTGTTTGCTTATTAGGCCCTTGTTATTTGTGTCTGGTTTGTATTTACAAAACATACAGTATTCATCAAAACTGTTCACCTTTGAAATTAATGGAAATGTTGTTGTGTAGTTCACTGGAAAATACCACCTAGGAAAATTTGTATTCAGAATATTTTAGTAATTATAGTTTATTTTTATTCAGCCAGGATACAGTTAAAAAATAAAAGAAAAAAATCATTTCCAATGAATTTTTAATTTAAATAAATTGATTATGTAGCTATCTGATGCTTGGATGATGAACATTATCCACCATTTACAATAAATTATTGTAATGAACTTAGATAGTCCCATAGATGTGTGTGTTTATATATAGAAGAGAATTTGTACAGTGTAAACTGGATAAATTATTTGCTGCAGTCAGCTTGGTAGACATGTTGCCTCTGGAATGCTAATAACCACCAATTTTTATGTAACAAAAAGAGGAATACACAGTATTTAGAAATAGTCAGAAGGAGAATTTATTGTCAATGATAGTAAAAGCATGAAAATGTTTAACGGATCATTAATAGCAAAAAAATCCCAACTAAAATGCCATCCTTAAAACTGAGTACCTTACAAGAGATTATGAAAAATATCAACCAGTCCAGTAAATCAGGAAAAGTGCATTTAGATGTATAGATGTAATAATAAAGCTGAAGAACAAAGGGGAAAAAGAAATGAAGAGCAAATCTGAGTTTTAAAACAGATTCTGATAAGTACATCTTCCCAAATTATCAGCGTTATAATATTTATTTTTCATTTACATGTAAAGACAAGTCAAAGGGGAGATTTTCTGTTCAGTGCAGGGTCCTTTGACGCAAGATGATTGACATGATTTCACGCGGTATAAAAAAATAGCAGCCAGAAAGGTGAGCGATGACTTAAATCCCTTTCTTCCACCCCAAATTCACTGTTGCTATGACTTCATTTCTTTACTCATTTCTGAAGCCTGTGGTCCAGAGAGTTTCACTTCTATGTTTGCGGGTGGAAGACCCCCATACTGGGGACCTAGCTCTAGGGACTCCTCATATTAAAGCAAGCAATGAACTGTGGGGATTCAGTTTCTGAGCTAATACTTTAACATGAACCCTGCTCCCCAGAGTACACCTACAAAACTCATATTTTACTGTTGGTATAGAATAAATTACTCTTTTCTATGAGCTGAGGTGAGGGAAGGAGCAAATCCTGTCCCAGCCGGCTACCAGAGTTACTAGTCCTGGTTGCTCTACACCACCCCTCCTCTGAAAGACACGATCTGCCTCATGGGCTTTGATGCGCCAAAAGTCACCAGTCTCTGCTGACTGTTCACTGAGTAGCACATGTTTATATTTTGCTTTTACCATTATTTCACCAATGTTTTCTGATTTAACATTTTTTGATGTTACATATTTGTAACTGGCATATTTGACACTGGCTAGTGACAAACTTCAATGCCCATGACTGCAGCAGAGAAGCAAGATTTTCAGAAGTTTATGCTGTCACACCCCCCAGCACCAAGAATACCAGATATCATTTCTTTCTCCCGTGTCCAATTGCTGACAGTCATCATGGTGTTTTACCACAGGAGGCAGAGCTGAATCATGTGAAAGTTGAGCTATAGCAGAATCCAGGCTGTATTTTGAAAAAAAAAAAAAAAAAAAAGAAAAATCTGCAAATGGAGCCTCCAAAGACATGAGGTACTAAAGTAGTTTACATTGCTAACATTCATCACAGACTACAGGTGTCGTGTCATCTCTGTTCCCCACAGAGAAATAAAACTTGGACAGCTTTCTGAGTTTACTTTCAAGAAGATGCAAGGCTCGACATTAAAGTAGTGAATCGGTGCTTCAATCTTACCACCTGCACCAAAAATTTTATCCAATGTCCAGCCTGAGGACACTGTACAGAGCACAAGAGAAAGGGTCTTCTTTGTTTGAGAAGATCTTCCTGTGCAAAAATAAGCCTGGCTCAGGGAGAGGAAAATAGTCTAGGTAGCATACAGTAGGCTGCAGTAGCAATCACGCCCGATTCCTACTCTCATGTGAACATTTCTAGTGGTTTTAGTTGCTACAAATATATCAGCCATCCACAAGGTCCTGTCTGCATCACCACAGCCTCTTAGTGGCTTCTCCGATCACCACGACATTGAAATGCTTGTGCTGCCCTTTTAAAGGCCACCGTTATCTGCTGGGATGCAATCTGGGATGAAGAGCATAGGCTATAGCTGAGAAATACATAGGTGCATAGGCACTGCTCGGAGGGCATTAGAAGCGATGTATGCAATTCAAGAGCAAAGGTTGTCCCTGTGTGTTGTGTGGTTTGCAGCTGACATAGGGAAAAGAGACCACACACTGATTACTTTCTTATATGAGCTTAAAGTTTCATGTGGTTTTACACATTTGTCAGCTAGTAAGTATACTATCAAGCCTATGTAGCACTGCCTTGATAAGTTGCCATCAGTTTGGACAAGTGAAAAGAGACCCAAATTCAATAAACAAGCACTGATACAATTTATTGGTGCTGAAGGATTTATTTTGCTGATCCTGTCAGTGTTAGTGTCTCATCTGTCTCCTCTGCAGCCTGAAAAGTTTCTGCAGTGAATTACAGACACTCAGAATTCCTTTCCAACTGATGTTTTGAGTGTTGTAAGCACAGAAAGAGAGGGAGAAAGCGAGATCTGCAGAACAAAATCTATAGAAACAGACCAAAGAAAAAAGCTTAAGAAACAGAGCTTCAACATTGGAAACCCAAATCAAAGACTTTTAATGTCTGGGTGATAATTTAACAGCCATTAAGCCAATACTGCTTTGGCAAAGGTCAGTAAAATGTTTCATCTGGTATAGTCAAGCTCTGACGGTTATGAGTGTATAATAATTACTTACTGTAATTACTTTCTGGCCTCTGCTTATGAGGCATTACTCGAGTTTTGGCAAAAAAAAGGGTGAGCATCAAAATGCATTGTCTTGTATTGTCAGATCATTTTCACTATGCATCTTCTCCCCAAAAAACCAAAAAACACAGTCCTTTGTCTTATCAGGGTTTGAACTGCCTTTTGTTTAGATGCACTTTTCTGAGCACACCAGTCTTTATTCTCTAGGGATGGGCTTCCACATGAAGAAAAGGCTCTAAAGGATCCTCTACCAGGACATCTAGCATCTGACCAACCGCAGCCATGTCCTCAATCTTATCAACACAGATAAACTGTTCAGGACTGGATTCACAAACGCTTTTTTTTTTTTTTTTTTTCTAGCTTAGCCTATTTCCAAAACAGACGCCGCTGAGAAGTCTGAGGATGAAGCTACCAAGGTTGTGGAAACACGTTGCTCACTTCACCGTGATATGTACCAAACAAGCCGTTTCTGTACCGCAATGCTTGATGCTGGGACTTTTGAAAGATCTGTAGTGAGGTGGATGTTTCCAGCCCAGCAGGCATATGCCTCAGAAGTACTGCCTCTGACCAGCTCTGCGGATGCGGGGCTATCTTCATGCTTGCTGGTGCCACGGGGTGGTGATGAAACTATATTCATAATAATCCTCTGTAAATATAGAGGAAACGGCAAAGCGTAGGTCCTCCTAAATGTTTTATCGCTATTACGCTATGCTGCATAGGGACTTTGATTTATTGCTCTCTGGGAGTGCTCTGTACTGCTCGTGTAAGACAGGTTTGCCGTGAGTAAGCTGCTCGTACGAGCCAGTGGCAGGGAGCTGCAGTGCTCTGATCCCTCCCTCTGTCCCCGGCAGCAGGGCAGGGGCACCCTGAGCTCAGCGGCTCCTGGAGAGCTGTCACTTTAAAATCACTTATCTGCAATGATAAAATCATACACTGCTGCTGCTCTTATTGCAGTGCTAAACATCTATTAACACTGACAGTCGAGTAATGAGGTGACTGCAACAATTAATTTCCATGTTTCCATTGATCCAGGCTCTGAAAAAATATTACACTGATTCTTTACGAACATCTGAATACCGAGAGAGGGGCAAAAAAGGAAGTCCCATGTTTCAGCGCTTTCACCTTTCTGCTAGACATTGCCAAAAGGCCACTGTCTTTGGATTGCTTTCCTGTTTTCAAGTGCCAGAAATTTGATATAGTGTTATTTCATGGTTTGCTGAAGACAGGGAGAATTGCAACCATCAGTGCCTTTTTGCAAAATCAGTGCAACCCTCACTTGATTTCATACTGTTTCAACATCCAGTGAGATAGCTTCACTCTTTCTGTTTCTTGATGACAAATCATTAGCAACGTTACCAAGAGACCAAAATATCATCAGAATGGGCATTAGATATTAAGATGAATGTATCTATTGGTTGATTACATGTTGCTTTTTTCCAATAAAATAATAGCATTAAATTATATCACAGCATTCAAACAAATCCAAACAGTAAAAATGAGCAATCGCTCTAAAAGCAGAAGATGAAAACCAGGTTTTCCCAAAAGGCAGACCACTGTCAGTTCCTGCTTTTCTGTTTATAGATCTACACTTAAAATCACCGCTCTGGTTAAGGGTAGAGGAGACTGCCCCAGTTCAGTGAAGAGCTTTAGGCTGAAGAATATATTGTGTGTTGGTAACAGTAACTAACAACAGTGACCATTAAACAGACACAGACAAAGGGTAATATGGTCTCAATTTTTTGAAAGGCAATTGGATCTGTATCTTACGTACATGGGTGTAGCTCCACTGAAAATAATGGAGTTAGATGAGTTTATGTTGAGATTTGCACCCATTGCTTTCAATAGACCAGCGAGAACTTACAGCAGGCTTGGGCATCATCTTGTCTCCTTTCAGCAGCTGACAGAAAGAC